GCAGCACCCCTTTCGACTGCTCGTGACAGCGATCGTTCCTGCTGTTTAGGCTCAGCCCTAGCAGAGGAAGGGATCGCTATCTTTGTGAGAGAGTGCTGACGGGCAGAGCATTAGCTTTTATGTTATCGTGGCTTTTACGAAAATCTTTTCGTTCATTTCTGAGCTACACAGAGTAGGAATGGGCACACGGTAAAGAAAAGGGGACAAGGTAGTTGAGAAAGCTGCGCGGCAGACGACTATGCCACGTCATCTGTGCTTGTCTGCGCCCTCTCATCCACATAGGAAAGTAGCACATTTGCTCTTCCAAGGCTTGAAGAAACATGGCCAGGCAAGACCAAATACGACCATTGCAAACCACTAGACTAACTTTACCCTCGAAACGGGTCAAGAGACCCAAGTCATGTAGCGCTTCGCATTTGGCGTCGGGTGGTCACCAAGACCTAATTGGTTTGGAGCGGAAGTGCTTCAATGAGCCCGATTCAGCTAGCTAAGAAAGGCTCCGAGCTAGTTTTTTGCGTGTCGCTGCAACGCAGATCTCCTAATTAGCGCCGCATAAAAAAGTGCTCCCAAAAAACGCTTCTCGGATCAGCGCATTGGCTTGGAAAAGTCGTTATTCGTTTGGCCGTGCCGATCTGTGCGGGTAAGTCAGTATTTTATCCCTCCAGCGCCGAATACTTGGTCCTAGACTTCTCTCTGAGAGGTGAAGGCATGACTCACAGCGGTGATTTTTGTTCATCCTTTCTCAATGAAGCTGAAGTGAAGATCCTCCGGTGAAGAGCGCTCGACGGTCATGGCACGGCGCGGAGGTTTTTCCCGAGGGTACAGATGGTCATGTACAGGAATATTTCCAATTTTTCAGAAATTTCAAAATTGAATTGATTTGGAATTCATGCCTATCAAGACAGCCACAGCTGTACCATCAATTATGTATGCGCTGTCCTTTAAAAGCTTGAAAATCGAAAGACAGCTGACGCTGTCACTGAAGGAAACGGAACAAAGCTAGAAAGGCAGGGATATATGGCGCAGTTTATCGACGGGGGGGGGGGGGGGCATTTTGCTTTCCATAGATGTGTCGACCCATCTAGGTAGCGTTTTCTCGAGTTGACACGTTTTGGGATGGTGGCTAGACGATCCTGCTCCAGTACAAGAGTTCACAAGTTTTACCAAGGTGAGATTTGCAAACCGGAACAAAGCAAGTAGCGGTAGTACAAAATGCCCCCCGTCGATAAACAGCGCCGGGATATATTGTCGTTGCGGTCAAGAGATCCTGGATAGTAGAGAAGGTTTTCGATGATCCAATGGAGCCTGATTAAAATTTGTCAGGAAGAATCCTTGGCAAAGCTGAACTGCTGAAGTGTTTCATGCTTTCTCTCAACGCCTACAAAAACTATTTCCCGTCTCTATCCGTTGGAAGCGTCTTAGGTGGCCGCGGGTCCTCTAAGTAGGATGTTACTCTGGAGTCTTCGTCGGGAGATTTATTTTTATCGCATTTAGCGTTGCCTTTAAGAGGATACCCATGACACCTGGTGCAAATACTAGTCGACGAATTCGACGAAGATACGAATTTTAGAATAATCTAAATTAGGGCAACAGGTCTGTGTATATGGAACGTGATTTGATGGTTATATTATTTACTGTATTATTTGATATCTATGTTTATTCGATTAACCTATTTATTTATTCACTCACTCATTTATTTATTTGCTTACGTTCTGCTCATTCCATACATCTTGAGCTCAAAGCGTAACCATCATGACCAGTGAGAGTGGCTAAGTCTGGCTAAGTAATAAAATTTTCAAACAGACCGGTAGATGGGTTCGAAACTGAATACTAGACGGACTGCTTGCAAGACCCCCTCCCTTATTGCTGCGGACGCCGTTAGAGTGACCCAAGAATTGTAAAACAGGGCACACATCGCTGAGGTCCTTACAGGTCCGTTTTGTCGCTCGGGCAAGGGCGACGAGTAATTGTTGACAACTTTTATTCAATGTTGTTTGTCGGTAGTTGTGTTATAGGACTGGGTCATATGTGCCCTTACTGGACGGACTTGCGCTGTTCCGACAAAAATTCTCCGGGTTTTTGCGTCCCCCCCATTTGACGATGATGGTATCATAGGAGGGAACAAGGGGGTTCGTTAGAAGCGCCAGCGAGGGGAGGGGGACTAGGACCCGACTAGAATCCCTAACCAGTGAGGTGCCCTGTCCGCAGGTCCGCAGAAGTCGGGGATCTTGATGACAGCGCAATTGGGTGATCATAGCTGCTCCTTTGAGGGCCTTGTATAAGGATCTAAATTTGCAATAAAGAGAAAATTTCAATAAAGGAGTCCAATAACCTTCCATCTTTTACCTAAGTAGCTCTTTCGAACATGCAGTTTTCAAACTGTAACACTTTTACCTAGTTTCACTTCTACTGCTTTACTTTTACTCAGCTTGGGCTGCATAGTACTGCTACTTCAACAAAATTGATTTCCTGAAGGAAAATCCAAAAAATTTATGGTTCACCGCGAAAAATTATCTCTGAGAGCGGAGCTGGTCCAATCGGTCTATTTCTGAATGATCGGGTGGAGTGCTCATTTGCTACACTGAAACAGATGTTGGGTCATATCTTTCACCAAGTGGGAAAAGTTATGGCCCCCGAAATCATTCTTGATGCTTTCTCGTGGGCATAAGGTGGCTAAATCACTTCGTGAGTTCACGTGGATCATTTAACTCTATTGAGGTTTTTCAGAGTCTCGAAATGGGACGAGCGGACGCACTCGAGCCGCTTCGTGGCGACTGGAATCGCGACAAATTCAGGTTTGTTTTCGTGGTTTTGTTTTTTTCGATTTCCATTCATAATCATAGGGGTGTTTGATTTGGCTGAATGGCTGATTGGCCTATGGCTCATATAGCGTGGAAGATGGATGTTTATGAGAGTTTTTTATGCTTCGCGAGGTTGGATTTGAATTCCTGAATCGGGGAGGCTTACTGGTTCGGTCGGATCCAGGGTACGTCCTGCTGATGAGGAAAATTTTTGCAAAATATGACCCCCCCCCACGCGCAGAATTTTCTCCTCAAGAAGTTAGTACGGCCTTCTACTCCAGTACCCTGCACCTGCTGTCTTCCTAGATTATCCCAATCTCTAACCACTGTTTCTTTCTTTTCCACTTTTTTCCCAAGAGACCTTCGTCGAGTGGTGGATGGAGGGGGGTATCAGGAAAACTTAAAGTACGCGCGTCACGCAAAAGCTACCCCACTCACTCGTCTCGCTCAGTCGAGGCATAGAATTCACCTTTCGTCTAACGAGCTGAGAAGATAGTCCACTCGATGAGAATCGACTTATCCCACATACTTTTCTAGGAGCTCTAATTGCAGGAGATGTCAGTCTGAGACGCGAGGCGCAATACTCTAGCTCTCTTTTAAAATCTCCTCACCTCAACTCTGTAAAGTTATGGTTTGAGGTTATGGCATAAACCTTGCTTACATCCACATAGATGCTGAGATATAGTAAAAGCTGAAACCCCGACGATCGAACCTCACCTCACGCTTCGGCAAAGTTGGCGGCCCTTTTTTTTGTATAAACGTTACGCCACCAGGGGCCGCTCTTATCCATGCACTGGCTTTTACGCCATCGCCTTAACAGTCTTGCCACGCAATGTGAGGTGCGGGTTTGAGTCTGCCCGGATCAGACTTTTCCCATCACTCAGCCATGATCATGTACATGCAGCTGACCTCTGTAAGTCATTATCGTAGATGAAAGAGCTAAACTGGGAATCATTTTACATCTCCCACCGCTCATTATCTGAATTGAAGAGCAAAACCAGACGGCATTCCCAGGTGCGCCCTACAACAGCGTCGAATATTTTTCCTTTATTTTCTCCCGTAAGCTAAGTTAAGATAGTGATCAACCGATCAATTCGCCCAATCACCTATTCTCCTGAGACCTAGTAAGCGTGCAGAAATGAAATTAAAATTGCATAATCAATTTTAATTTTCGTCAACTATAGTTAGTTATTAATTAGGATACTAATCTGAGAATCAGAGCGCCTTTTTCCACAGTTCTATTACAGCATTGCAGAAGATTAAGACCGATTTCTAGCTAGGATTTCATTCTGAGTAATGATCTCAAAGGGAGACATTCAAAGGAGTTCTTGTGCAGAACTGGGATTACGGTCATCCGAATAGAACTTTGTTTCACTCAGCCCGGAGCTCCTTCACTCGTTCCGATCCACCAGGAAAAATTCCCATCTCCTTTAGGTACTTCTAGTTTTGCTCGAGCAGTCCTTCACAGCTTCTCCCTTAACTCATCAGCTCATTTTCTGAGATGGTTTTTGAGAAACGAAGGGTAGATTCCTAAACGCGGCGCCCAACGATTCCAATAACCACCAAAATTGATAGTTTGGAAACCTATAAAGCAGGTTTTCCGTGAGCCATTTATCCTTTTAGACCTGTGATTTTACTTGCAATAGTTTGGCCAAGGGAATTATCGCGATATCCTAAGAAAATGAAGTATTGCACCTCTGGGCAAGTACTGCGTTGCACATGCACTTCGGCAGTGTGAGCGCAGTTCGGCTTGGAGGGGGCATTTTGCCGATTCCTCCGGTGGGGACTGTCAAGTCCTGTGAAGCTATGCAATAGTATGAGCTTCACTTACACTTGACACGAGGTTCCAAGTCTCACCAAACAGTGAGGGTGATTTAACACGAATTGTCACTATCAAAAGGAACTCGCGAAAATGCGAAATGCCCCTCCCAAGCCGAACTGTGCCCATGCTTTGTATGCAAAGATCTCTACGATCCTGTTTAGAAGTTGATTGTGTGGCGCATAATACCAAGCTTTTGGCTCTGCGAGTTATCCTTCATTCTGCCGTCGCATCCCAATCAAAATAGTTCCAAAGCAGAAAAATGTCTTCAAGGGAAAACAGGCTAGAGGTCAAAAACGCTACTCAGGTGTTCTCCGGAAATTCCCACGTTGTTGTTACGGCGCGTTCTTGGAAGTTTGCCCACTGATGCCTCTCCAGCAATGGAGTATGAGGTGCTGCTCGAGGACAGAGGTGACGCCGTGGCTAGAGGCGCATTATAGCGTTTGTACGGCCTATGGGATGAAATCTCGCCAACTTTAACCGATGAAGGGTTTGCCCGACCGAAACGAATTTTTTTGATGAGTGAATGCGCTCTCTATTACAGAAGCCCTGACTGGCACTGTGGTCAGCTAGGGCATGTTCTTCCGTTGTGAAAATTTCCAAATAATACGACTCCCATCCTAACTTTTCGTAATTTGGTGCGACCCAGCTTCCCCGTCTTCGATTCTACCCATTTTTTTTCTGAATTTTCCCGAATTCCTACCACGCTCTGCTACTTTTTCGGATGATTTTCCCATTAATTCTGCTCTTGAACAGGGGAGAATCGTCAACAATACAGTCATCAGAGTTTTTGATGGCACATTCCGTGATTTCCTGGTGGGCGGTGATTCACAACGTGCCTTCCTTATTAATGCCCATCT